TTTAATTGGTTGTTAAAAATAGAATTTTTTATATCTTTTGTGTAACTCATGGTGAAAATAACAAAAAACCATGGTGAAAATAACAATTCTCTTTTCTTTAATTTATATTTTAAATATGAATTAATATATTTGTAACAATATGTTACAGTAATCATATCACAATTAGCCAATAATAGTTAGAGTTAAGGTTTGGTTTATATGAATTTTTATTGGCTGTGCTAAGTATGTTGTTATAAATAAGTGTGTAATATGTTGTTACAATTAGATACATTCTTTAAATATTATTTATTTTATAAATTATAAATTTTTTTTTATAATTTGACAGTCCTGCTACTCTTTATTTGAGATTAAACTAAACTAAAAAATTTATATTTTCTAATAATAGCTATAATAATTTAACCAAAAGCAACTTATCTACACTTGTGCTAGATATAACTTGTCTCAGTAAACTTCAAACCTCTCTCTGGGCCCTAACTTACTAAAGAAAATCTTTTAGTCATGGGCTAGTACACACATCATATCAGAATTGATTTTCTTTTTACAAAATGAAGTATTACTACAAATACAAAAGGCAAAACAAAAATAGAAAAATATCTCAACATCAAATTCTAATTCATCTAAACAAATAATACTAAATAAAATAAGTAAAAAAACAAAGAAAAAAAACAAAAATAGTACTATTAAACCTGTGCAAAATTATAAAAATTATATAGTACTACAAATAAACTAGTCTAAACTTTATGCTAGTTATTTATATTTATATTTAAGATATAAAATATCAAAACTATCTGATTTTGAAATAGAAATCCAAGTTTGAAATTTCTATTACAATTTTAGTAAATTTTTCTGCAATATTTCAATCTGTAACTTCTTGAGCAAAGTTAATAAGCTGTCATCTATCTAAATAAATTTGGCAAATCTTGTCTAACAAATAGTTGGTGAATCTGCTATTCTCAGTATAATTATCGTAACTTTTAAGAAAAAAGTATCTAATACTATTAACTCAAAGTATACATATACATGTGTATATGTATTTTTTTTTTGGCAGTAATTGTTGTTGTTGATCTTTTGATAAAGATATGTTATATTTTCTACTTTTTGGTAAAATTTTGTAAAGATCAAGAGTGAAGTGTAGAAAAGGGTTTTAGTTTGCAGATAGCTTTAAACTTTGATAAGAAGAGTATTAAAAATATGTTTGTTGTTCTTCTTAGACTAACTATCTTTAATTTCGTCAGCAAAAGCAGTGCTTCTATTAAAATTTTCTGTCTAAGAACACCATCTTCTTGCCAGTTATCTTATATAGAAATTCTTTTAACTTGTATACTAAAGTCGAAAGAAAAATTAAAGAAGCTTTGATTTTAGTAAAAACTATTATTTATAGTTGTCTCTTCTACTTTCCTTTAACAAGTTTCTGTTTTCATTAGCTATAAGTTTGGTATGAGTGATTGTCAGAGAAAGTATTCATAAAATTATAAATTTATTTTTATTTATTTTATTTTTTTATTTTTTTTCACTTAACTATATTTATTAAAATCTAATCTCATGAAAGACCACAGAATTACAAACTTTTATTTATAACTCCTGATAATAAATCTAAAGTTCTGATATTCTACAGCTATTTCTTAAATAACTAACTGCTACCAGAGCATCTATAGATAATATACTGCACTAGCAAGATACAATCAATAAGATAATATTCTAACTAAGGGTTTGTCTGATTACTTCTCTACAATAAAATACTGCTAATCTGATGATATCTTCTCATAAAGAAGTAGAAGAAAAAGAAAAAATTTTTAAAAGCAACATAGTGGTATAGAAAATAATATTAAAAGATACAAGCAAGAAAAGAAAGAGGTAAGGGAAGAATGAGAAAATCTAAACTAAATACAGAGTTTTTTATCTGCACCAGATGATCACAATTATAAGTCTGTGTTGGGCTTTATAAAAATTATATACTACTATCTAAACTAGTCTCTATTCTAATCTATATAATTAGTATATCTAAAAAAAAATCTTATCTTGAGAAAAAAATAGTTCTTCTTCGACTTATGTACTATAGAAAAGTCAGAAATTTGCATTGATGGTTTCAAGTCATTGTTTATCTAGGTTATCACATTGAAGTATGTAATTTACATGTCTACATTCTATATGCATACATGTATTTGTTATGACAGATAAAAAAGTAAACAATATAACTAATTTGGTAAGTAAATAATATATCGACCTTTGAAAGAGGTAAGCTAAATTGTCTACTTTTTTACAAAATTTTATCTGAAAAAAGCAAAAAATTAATGAAAGTATATATAGTTCTTCTGTAAGCTTTACAGTTGTATAGACAATTCTTTAAGCTTCAACTACCTCTGCAAAAGTCTTTTGACTACTACTTGTTCTTAGAATAGCATATTAGCAGATTTATGTAATTAAAATTAGACTCTAAAAATAGTCTTTAAAATGCAATTGTTTACAAAAATTTATTAGTCAGATGATGGTCAGATAATCAATATATAACTAATCATTATAAATAAACCTATTAAATAAACATATACCCATTAGATCTTAGAGATAAAATGATTTAATTTGTAAAATTATATGAAATTTAGAATCTTAAAAAAGGTTCAATTCTATAAATCTACTAATATGACACTTCTGGTTTGGATACCAAATAACTTGAGAAGTCTATTTAATAAATTAGCAAAAAAAACTTAACTCCAAGAAAAACTGTCCAAGTTATATTCGCTTTTAGTATATCAAATATCTTGAACTTTGTTAACAACAACCTATATAAAGATAAAAACAGTTTCTAGAATACTCTTCTGATTTAGATGCTGAATAACTTAGGAAGTCTACCAGAAATAGCAAAGTTTAACTTCATGAAAAACTATCCAAAATATGTCTACTTCTCAGTGTTTTATGTCTTCAAATTTTATTGACAACTGCTTTACTCTAAAGTAGGACTGAGAAATATTTATCTTAGACATTCCTATATTGTTTTTCTGTAGTTCAGTTTTTTGTTATCATTGTCTAAAGAATCATTTAAAAGAGTTCATAATTTATTTTTATTTAATAAGTTATATAATTATATATTTTTAATATATGGGGCGTCAAAAGTAGAAACCAAGGAATTTGACAATTTTTTGAAAATTAATCTGTTTGATTGATTAGGTATAAAATTTAAAGCCCAATCTTTTTTGCTTAATAATGAAAGTCTGATCATTTAATAAATTTTTGCGATACATTGGTTAAAAGCTTTTGACGCCATAATCTAAAAATAGATTTACCAGTGCAAATGTTAGTATGATAGTGATCTACAGATCTAATAATCCTGTTTAAACAGGTTTGTTAATATTAAATAAACTATTTTTAGTTTGTTTTGATTTGTGTAACAAAATAGTTTTTGCTGATTTTCTCAAAACCCATGATCAGCCAAATTCTCTGGTTTCTACTTTTGACGCCCCATATTATATTTTTTATTGAGAATTACTATTTGTATCTGATAAGTATAATACCTAGTATAAGAAAAAAATTAAAAATCCTTAATATCTTAAAATTTTACTAAAGTAACTATATGTAGATATCTTAAGTAAAATTGTTTAGCACCTAATTTTGTATATAATCACATATATTTCTAAATCTAACCCTAACTTTAATATATATAAGGCTCTATATAATTATTATACTAGGTATTATGCCCTATAAATAAAGATAGTAAATTTCTTTTTTATTTACTATTTTTTAAATATTTTTATTAAAATAATTTTATTATTATTAAAATTATTTTAATTTAAATAATTTTATTTAAAATTAAAAATAAAATTATTTAATATTGAATTTAAATTTTAATTTAATTTTTTAATTTTATAAAACCAAATATATAAATAATAAATATTTAAATTAATTAGATTTTAAAATTTAAATTTAAATATAAATTATTGTTTTATTAAATATAAATTTTAAAAAACAATCAAGATAATTTATTTTTAATTTTTATTAAAATTAATTATTAATTTTGAAAAATATATAATATTTTTATTTTTAGTATTTACTTTAAATATATATAGAGAGTAATATATATAACTTATTTTTGTCAATACAAAATTTTAAAATAAGCCTTTCAAGATTAAAAAAAAAAAAAAAATTAAATTAAGCCACCTTATTTTTCGTGTTCAAAATTACCCAAAAAGAGTAGTTTATTTCGGATATAATTTTGTTTTATATTTATGATTATATAAAAAATAAAATAAAATTATTTATTTGATAAATAAAAAAGGTGATGATATTAAGTTTGCGACTATATCAAGAGATCGAGATGCGCCTGTAATTTATCATTATGAAATTAATGATCATGAATTACTTCATTCGTGAGACAGAAATAACTCTAGTTGGTATGTAATTTAACACGTGATTGCCTGGGTTTGTATAAATGCATTTTGAATATAGTGATGCAGTGTTTATAAGACCAAGAACACATCATTACATGATTATCTCTCATTCGTTTTCGCGCACGAAATTGTTATATACAATGAAAAGAACTGACATCAGTACAATGAAAGATGAACTTTGTAATTCATTTTGGATTAACACAATTAAAGATGTTTAAATAGTAAAATCATCTCATCTATTCTTTCTTGATCATCTCTATCGCTATTGTCATCACTTATTTTCTTTGCTGCTCAATGGATAATATAAATAATAATTTTCATTCTATTAAATTTGACCACGAAATCACAGTTCCCTTTCATGACATTCGTTCAGATCATACCGCTCAGCAATATTTAGTTCCTCCTTCGCTTCCGATGCTCTCTGAAAATACACTCCATAGTCATTTACCAGTTTATGCTTCTATCTTTACCGAAGAACCCTTTGAATATGTCCGTTCATCACAAATGCACCATCTACCTTATCCAATGATGTTTTTGTCGGATCAAAATGATATCATGATAGAGCCCACAAATTATAATTTTCAATTCCCAAACAATATTCATCTATCGCCTAACGAATTTATGGAGTATCCAAACCACCGAGGCTCGCTTGCAAATCTGGTACCTTCTCCCACATCATCCATCACTACTGCCAGCAATATATCTATTAGCAGTAAGGGTGACTTAGCATTTCAAGATTCACCAATCTCTTCCATCACCGCAAGTTCGACGCCCATTTTCCTTTCGTCCACTCAGTCTGCGAATATCGACAAGGACACAACCCCTGCTAATCAAACGTTACCTAATGAATTGGTAAAAAAGCGTAGATCCCGTGATGATGATAAAGAAGCCGAAGATAAAAGAAGTTTGAGAAGAAAGTATTTGAATCGCGCAGCAGCCAGGAGATCAAGACAAAAAACAAAAGATTATTATAATGGGTTAAAGCTGCGTGTCGAGGAATTGGAAGAGGAACGAGTTGAAAAATTAAAGGAGATTGAAAAACTCAAAGAGATTTTAAAAAATTTGGGTCAAAAAATTGAGTGAATATCTGAAAAATGTAAAATTAAGACCGATGGTGAGTACTACAGTTTTGGTTACTTCTTTTTTAATGGTAACAAGTTTTTGAATAACTAACTATTCATTATGTTAAAGAAATATTGAATTTCGAAAACGCGTCATTTTTGTTCCGCAGCATTATTTCTTGGTTGTTTATAATCATGGGCTTAACAAATCTGTTTATAAAATTATATTATTACTTGTATAAATCGTTTGGCCAACCATAAAATCATATTATGTATATTTGAAATTTTATTATGCAAATTTTTTGCAACTAATTTTGATCCTTTTATTAGTTTAATTATTATAGATATTTGATGCTTATTTTTGATAAAGAATTTTTTTGATGTGTTTTATAAAAAATATGCAATGTGTTGTGTTAAATTAACTTGATATATAATCGCCCGGAGCGTAACGGAGGTTATATACGTACTTTCGCATTTATTGCTATTTTTATATTTGCTCTTTAATTGTCAAAGTGATACAGATGTTATTTACCACATTTTGCATACTTGCTATTATAAGTTCAAGATTTTTATTTAATTATATAGTTTATTTAATTAATAAAGTAGAAAATAAAAAATTAATATATATTATATAATGTATGATCTAGTTTTGTAAATTTTAAATACAAAATTACTAATATAAATAGTAACAAGATTTTATTTTTTAATAATTATGTTTTTATTTAATAAAGATATTATTATAATACAATATATAATTTATATATTTATATAAATTTTTAATTTAACAATAATATTTAATTATATTGTTTAAGTACAAATCTGTTTTAATAACAATGTGTTTTTTTTAAATTTTTAAATTTTAAAAAATATATTATATATTTTTTTTGATTATTAGCTAGCTATTGTATATTTTATCAAAAATATTTTATATTTTAACTTGATTTAAAATAATTAAACTAGTTTTTGTAGTTTACTTTATTATATGAATAAATAAGTACTATCAAAGAAAAACCTACAATCTGGCTTTCAATAATATTTTGTGCACAGATAGCTATCTATCGACAATCTATTACACAAAATATAATTTAAAGTTAGATAATAGATTGTCAATAGCTGGCCAACTGTATACAAAATATAATTGTAAGCCAGATTATAGGTTTTTATTTGATAGCACTCAAATGTTCTTGTTAATTTTTGTCATAGACTATATGTACAATATATAAATAATAATTATTATAATAATTATTAATTTTTGTTTTGTTTGTTTTTATTATATAATGTTTTACTAACAAACTTTTTTTCAAATAATTAGACATCATTATTGAAGTTGTTATTTTTTGAAGTCATCTTTTAGAGTTGTTTGTGAAGCTGAGCTAATCTTTATTGGCATGGTGTTGTTGATTTTAGTAGACTTAGTTTTGTTTATATGAAATTGTTATTGGTATCATATTATTGATTTGGTAGACTTTGTATAAATTTTTATTAGTATAGTGTTATCAATTTTAGTAAACTTTGTTTGTTTGTATAAATTTGTTATTAGTATAGTATTATTAATTTTAGTAGATATTGTTTTATTTATATAACTTTGTTATTGTAGGTGTTATTACAATATTGATTTCAGTATTGTTTCTAGATTCTGCTTTTCGTAAATTTATTTACTATATTTTTTGTTGTTTTGATTTCTTGATTGTAAAATACAAATATCATTTTCTTTCATAACTATTATGTTTTTTAATCAAATTTAGAATTTTGACTTGATGAATATATTTGTCTTAATTGTTTGTTGTTTTGATTTTTTTATTAAGAAATACCAATACTCTATTTTCATTTTAGTTGTTTTGCTTGTTTTTAGTTTAGAATTGTGTTTTTGACTTGAATAAATATACTTACTTTGTTTGTTATTTTAACTTTTGGTTGTGAATATTAATACTTTTTTCTTTTTTTTATTGTTATGTTCTTTATTGTTTAAAATTAAGCTTTTAGTTTAAATAAGAATATTTATTAGATTTGTTAATTTAATTTTTTAATTTTAAGTTATATTAAATTAACACTTTTTTTACTTTGTTAATAGTTTTATAAATAATATAATTTTGCAATTCATTGTTATTAACTTCTTAACAGCTTATTTTTGTTGATATTTGTTTATAAGTAGTATAGCTATAGTCTTTATCATTATTTACTTTATTATTATTAATAATTTTGTATTATCAATAGTATATTATATGATATTGTTTGAGTTAGAATAGATAGTAGTTAGTATATAAGCATAGTAGCAAATTTATGGAATTGGTTCTGAATTAATTCTAAATTGTTATTCACAAAATAAATACCAAATTTTGTATATAATTGATATATGTATGTATATATAAAATAATTTAAGAAATAAATAGATAGAATTATATATAATATATATATACTGTATATAATATTGAATGTCACAGATTAAAATGAAATCTGATCAAAATGAAATTCTTCTGTTTTTTAAAGAAAATTTAAAATTTTTTGTGTGCTATTTTTTAGTAGTTCTTTTTAGTATTAGGAGTAGAGTTTGGAGTTAGATTTATTAATAAATAAGTATATGTGGGTTTTATAAACTCTAAGGGTGGATATAAGAGGTCTTCAGTTTCATTTTGATCAAATTTTATTTTAATCTGCGATATTGAATTATTCTTCCTTAATTTATTGACAAAAGGATTATATCAAACTAAAATTATATTTGAATTAATTTAATTGTTAATTATATATATAGAAGAATGTAATTTTAATTATATAAATTTTCTTTATATGATCAAAATTACATTTTTCTTAATATTACATATTTATCTATTGTATTTTACTTTATAAAGTATCCTCTGCTCTCTTGATTAATACTAAATATATTATTAGATCTATTGCCTAATAAATATGATATCAAATTAGTTATATATTTATGATTTATATATCTAATCCAGGTTAGTTTTAGTGAAAAATATTGTAGTCTTGTGATTGCTGACCATTTTTGACTCAGCCTTAAATATGATATATAAATATTTTTTATATATATTTAATTATAACTTTTCAAGGCTAAGTTAGAAATAGTTAGTAATTACAAGACTATGATATTTTTTTATTATAATTCTACTATAATCAAAAAATTAATATAGATGATAAGAGTCTTTGAATACTTTCTATTAAAAATAAATCAGTTTAGTCTAGCTAGTTTGGTTCTAATAAAACCAGTTTATTACTATTTTTTAGTCTGGTCTTGGTCCTTAAAGCAGTCTTGATCTCTAACTATTTTATTGACTAGCAGAAAAAATTAAATCACATAATATTAGTAATTAAAATAAATGATTGTCTAAAATAATTTTTTAATATTTTTAATTAGTTATTTATGAAAACCTGTCTCAGAATCAGGAACCAGTTAATTATAAAACTAGTTAAAAAGTCTGATTTTAATTTGGTTTTTCGCAACAATAATCATATAATGATTGTGAAAGAAATTTATGATTAAATTAGTAGATTTGAATCTGCTACAGTATATTTGAAAAAAAAAAGAATAGGTATTAAAATATTAATAAAATAAAAAAAACTATATATACGTCACTCTGGTTATATCGATATTTTTGAGTTATTAATAAAAAAATTCAAAATGTTGATATAGTGAGTTATACTGACATTTTATATTAAAATTTTAAAAAAAAATATTGATATAGAAAGATTTTACTATGATGTCATTATATCTAGATATCAGTATAACCAGAATGACATGTATAAACATGAAGTAAGAAACAACTATTCTAAATTATTCTTATATAACAAACAATCATAAAAACTTTTATGATTGAATTAGTAGATTTGAATCTGCCGCAGTATTTCTAAAAAAATAATAAAAGATATTAAAGTATTAACAAAATAAGAAAACTATCTATAAATATAATTGAGAAATAACTATTTTAAATTATTTATAATATATAGTCATGTAATGATTGTAAAAGACCTTTATAATAATTAGATTGGTAGATTTAAATTTGCCGCATTATATCTGAAAAAAGAAATTAGATATAGAATATTAACAAAAATATAAAAACTATTTATACAAAATTATTCATAACTATGTATTATGAATAATTTAGAATAATTGTTTTTTATTTCATATTTATATATAGTTTTTGTAGTTTTCTTATTTTGTTAATACTTTATCTCTTATTATTTTTTCTTTAGATATATTGTAGCAGATTAAAATCTACTAATCCAATTATAAAGGTTCTTTATAATCGTTATATGATTATATATTATGAATCATTTAGAATAGTTTTTTCTTACTTCTTATTTATATATGTTTTTTTTTTTTTATAATTTCTATATATCATATTTTTTTTATTAGATATACTGTAGCTAGAGATGTTAATTAGTTAAAAATTGGCTATATTGGTTACGAATTAGCAAT